GCCCAGCCCAGCCCTGCCCTGCCCAGCCCAGCCCAGCCCAGCCCTGCCCTGCCCAGCCCAGCCCAGCCCTGCCCTGCCCAGCCCAGCCCAGCCCGGGGTCAGTGCCAGCCCTTGGTGGGGACAAGGAGCCTTTGTGGAAGGCCCGTGTTTCGCTCATGTGAAATCCGTGTCCCTGGTGCGCAAATGATCCCCTGGAGAAGCCCAGGAGCGGCACCGGGTGAATGCCAGGGCTCTCCCGGGAGTGGCACCGGGTGAATGCCAGGGCTCTCCCGGGAGTGGCACCGGGTGAATGCCAGGGCTCTCCCGGGAGCGGCACCGGGTGAATGCCAGGGCTCTCCCGGGAGCGGCACCGGGTGAATGCCAGGGCTCTCCCGGGGAGGTGACACTGCAGGCTGTGGCTGTTGGAGCAGGACGGTGACACACAGGGAAAGGGGAGCGGTTCTGCTGTGACACGGTGCCTGCAACAAAACCCCCTTCTTATTGTTTGTTGAAGCGATTGGTTTGGAAATGCAGTTCAGGGGTTTAAAAGGTGGTGGAAAGCACAGCACAGTGCTCCGACAGGCTTGTGCAGCTTAAAAACTCCATCATTTGATCTGGTTGATTCCCCCAGAGCCCTGGGAATATCCCGCTTCCCTTCCCCTCGGCTGCATTTCCCCCTGAACTGTTCCAGTTCAGCTGCTGGGACAAGATCCCCCAGATTCCGCCCCAGCCTGGGCAGACAATGCCCAGCTCATCCCTCATCCCTGCGTCACCCAGCTCCTCTTCCCAGAAGGATTTGGGGAACTTTTCTCCAAAAAACTCCAGGGGGCCCCGCAGAGTTAGTACGGTGCCAGTCCCCTCCTGCCCTCGCTGCCACACATCCAAGCGGCTTAATCCCCTTATCGAGCATTATTTTAACAGGCTTTTAGTGTTGCTGAGGAGAGGATTTGTCACGATCACTCCATGCTCAGCGTGGGACAAGGTGGTGCAGAGGAGCCTCCATCACCCTCCGCCCCCACCGCAATGCGAGGGGCACGGCACGGGTTTGTCCCCAGATCCACGGGCACCGCCGCATCCCTGCAAGAAGTGTCACCATGGTGCTGATCTGCTTGGGGGCTGCTGCGAGCAACTGGGGGCAACTGCTTTTGTACCCCCATGGCACGGGGAGGGGTGACACCGGGGACACTGCCAGGAAAAGTATTTGGAGCTGGCAGCTCTGAGGCGACCCCAGATGTGCTGAACCCGTCCCAGGGAGGAAGGGGCTGTGCAGTGTCCCCAGGGCTGTGCAGTGTCCCCATGTCAGTGCAGTGTCCCCAGGGCTGTGCAGTGT